CGCTGAGGGGAGGTGGTGCCTTCACCCGCCCTCCCGGCACCCCCTAGATCCCCGCCGAAGCTTCGTGATATCTCTTCCGTCTTTCTTGCAGAGGTTTTTCTAGGACATCATTATGAGTGATCAAATCCAGTTCATTGTTGAGAAGCTCAATCAGGAGCCCTTCAGGAAGAACTACAATTTAATCACATTTGACTCGTTAGAGTCAGTGCAGCTGTTGCAGCTGCTCAGTGATGTTCTGGGGGAGATTGATGCAAAGGTAAGGCAGGCAATCACAGGTGCTCACGGCTGCGTAACTGTGAACATTTTAAATGGGCTGGACACTGAAATTTGCCTTTGTTTAGGTCTGGCTCTGTATAATCTTGTGGCATGTTTGGTTTACCAAAATAGCTTGTTTGAATCTAACTGGAAGTAAATGTGCCTGGCAAGATTCCTCTCTGTCTATACATCTGTGTGGTTTTGGCAAACAAGCAAATGTTTCTTGGGCCAGGGATACCGGATCCCTATCCTACAGAGGCTGATGACTGTATTTTTACCTTGGGAATCACGATACAGGTCTTGGTTCATACTGAAAACTGCTGTGTTCTTATGTCAAAAGTCAGGCTGTTGTGCTCACAGACACAGGAACTGATCAAGAGTTGAACATTGTCTTAACTGTAGCAACAGATACTGAAACCCTCTCCTTTGAGGCTACCAAAACCGTGTCTAAGATCAGCAGGGTTCGTCTGTACATCGGGGTGCAGATGTATGTGCCTTGGTGCGCTTGGTTATCTGACTTCCTTGGGTGACAGTACTCAGTTTGTCTGCATAGGTGAGGTCCCATGAGCAGGGAGAATTTGTACCTCGAATAAATTTTCCTGAATACACATGTTGGAGAAAAATCTTTTAGAAGAGAATTGAAGTTTGATTATAAAAAGAATGTTCTGTATAGAGCATCTCATTTCATTGATGTATAATGTGATGCAAGGATAAATTCTTCCAGTGTTGCTAGTTACTTATCATCACTTGGACAAACAGCAGATAATTAATTTTTAATATTTTTTTTAAAAACTTCAGCATGCTGTTGACATTAGAGAGGAGCTGCCGGAACAAACAGCTAAAAGAATGTTGAGTCTTCTTGGTATCCTCAAATACAAACCTCCTGGAAGCATATCAGACTTGTAAGTACCTTTTTGTCTATGAATCACAGTACTCCATCTTTTCCAGCTTATGGCAACGACCTTTAATTCAGCAGTTCCGTGTGTTTTTGAGCTCCGCTGTCCCAGTGGGTCCATGTAACGTCTTGAAGGCAACTACTCCTCCCTTTACCGCTGCAGGGTTCGGTATAGGGAGGGCAGGCAGAGGCTGCGGGATGCCCTCCGGCCCTGTTGCCGCGGCTGCTATTGCGGAGCCAGCCAGGAGAGGGTGCCGCACGACTGGGAGGGTCAGTCCCTTCCCCGCCACTTCCAGACCAGCTGCTCGAGGCTGGACTGCACCCTCCTGCGCCAGGTTATAACCCAGCAAACCCCCACTCTTCCCACGTTGCCTTTATTCCCCAAGAATATCATGGAATGGGGAGAGTCGTTGTTTCTGGCTTTTTTATTTGCCTCAAGGATCATAAGCATCGAACTGGGATCACAAGTGTTTTTTTCTTCTAACAGCATTAAGAAAAGCACGAGGCGAGTGTTGAGGGAACGTCAAACTATTACAAATTGTTTGTTGCAAGCCACTGTTCTCTAGCTTGAGATTTCTTGGTATTTTCTTTTGGTTTTATATAGGAGTGCATTTCGCCAAGGGTTGGTTACTGGAAGCAAACCTGTGATTCATCCTGTCTTACACTGGCTTCTTCAGAGAACCAGTGAACTCAAGAAAAGAGCTTATCTGGCACGGTTCTTAGTGAAATTGGAAGTCCCAGCCGAGTTCCTACAGGATGATAGTGTGGCTGACATCAACAAACAGGTACCATTTTTCGTAAATGCCCACATTTTGCATTCATAAGTTAAAGTGCCAATAGGAAGAGTGATGAGTGAATCGGGAAGCTACTGTTGAGATACACGTTCAAGCAACTTACATTAAAAGCATGTTGGAATTGAGAGTGTGCAGAGATTCGTAATAAGAAATATATATCTTGACTGCCTTTCTTCCAGTAACTCTGAGACTCTATATTAATAGATAGCATTGAATCAAAAGGTTTTAACTTCATTAAGGGTGCTAAGTAAAGTTCAGATTCATGTTGGCCAAGGCAGGCTTTTATTTCTTATTTTTAAAAGACTTTTTTTCCCCTTGTGAATTATGAATGGGTATTTTTAACTTTATAAATTTCCACTTCAAACTAGTCCAGAAAATGTTATGACCAAATTGTCAATTGATTGTATAGGTTAGCAGCTAATATTTGTATTAGCCTTATCCCACTTCTGCTTCAACCATTTATTTTTTTTGTGAATAAGTAAAAAATCGCCTTTTCCCGGCCTGACATTCCTACTCATTATGTTCCCACTTCTTTTGTGAGCATTAAATGTTGATTTTAGATAGTCAGAGTGGGTGGGTTTGAAATGTAGAGCTTAAAGTGAACCGAAGTTTTGGTTTTAGATCTGTATTACCTGCGGTCTGTATCTACCTAGTTTTTAGCCAGCTTTCTATGCCTTTTGTTATGTGTAGTGATTTGCAAGATCACGGTGGTTTTGAAGGTTTGTAACGGGTAACTCAATTTATTAACTGTACCAGCAAAGCTGTATAGTCTGAAGCTTGACTAAGTATTTTATTTTTTTGTTGCCACTAACAATATTAGACTTATAACTTGGAATAACTAAGCAGAAGTAGCAGAGAGAAAGGAATTCAGAGAGTAAGTTTTTTCAGTATGTTACAGTCTTAATATGTATAAATATCCAGCTCCATTATTTCCATTACGTAAGATGTGTTCCTTTGGGGATTACAGTAAAATAACCTTCTTATTGAAATAATACCCTGCTGATTAATTGAAAACAGAAGCTGGGGTAATATACCACCTTAATGTAATTTAATGTTACAATGCAAATATTAAGGTACTAATGAATTAAAGAATTTAAAATTATTTAGATATACAGGCTTGCGATAGTGTCTCTTAAGAGAAACATTTAAAATATGAGAGTTCGGAAATCCTAGAAGGTGGTCAAGTTTTGTGGGTGTATAGAATCAAGCTCAAAGGTACTCCTGTGAATTATTTTCAAAAGGTACTCTGAGTACTTGCCGCTTTCTCAACCGTGTTCCAATTTGCACATCAGATTGGCTGCAGTGTATAATTTGGAAAGTAAGCAGCTTCAGGCATAAATCTAGATATCCAGTCTTTAGTGAGTTGCCCCCAGGTACCAGGAATCTTCCTTTCTGCTCCAGGAGCCTGGGCATTCTCTGGTTGGGTGCACGTGGGGTAGCTGCAGCTTTTATTTGGTGAATGTGGGGAAACCTTCCCTTTGTCGTGATCTGGCTAAGTGGGCTGTGCCCTTGTCGGAATCTTGCCATTGGCTCTTGAAGTTTTGTGGCCTGATAAGGAAAAGACTTAGCTAAACTCTCCTTTCGAAAGAGGTAGCGAATGTGCCCAAAGGGAAGCTGTTGGACATCAGCAGTTGTGAATACACTTGCTCAGAGACCACCTGCTATTTCATTATTTGTTGAAGTACTTCATTGTATAACGCATAAGTGGTGTAATGCAGGCCAGTTGCATTTTTACTTCTAACTTTTTGCAACTCATTCTGCATTGTCCAGCCTGTGCATCCCTTACCGTGTGCATCCCTTACTGTACCTTTATTTGCCATTTAATCAAGCTCTTTCTCTGTTACTTGATCTTCTTCTCAGTAGCCATTTTAATACTATTTTTTAAAATTCATTTCGGCTTGTCAGTGTGTGCCTGACATTGAAACAGCCAGAAATGAACAGAGCATTCTAGATGCTGTTCCCTGGGGTTTTATAGAACAAAATTGCTGCTTCACTGCTCAGGGACGTGATGCCTTTGTTTGAACTGGCCTTTGTCGTTGCCATTTTGTGTTCAACATTTATATCAGTTGCTCTTTCCAGGAAGTCAAAATGTCTTGATATTCTCTTTTTAGATTTTTCCGTCTCATTGAATGGCTGTATCTGTGAAGATTATCTTTCCTTGTGTCTCAGCTTGCATTTTTCCAAGTTGAATCTAAATTTATTTCCTATCCATATTTCTAAACTCTTTCTGTCCTCTGTTATTTCTCCACCCACACAGACTTTCACACTGCCTCTCAGTTTAAGATTACTGGTGGGCAACGTACTGATGTGGAAGTAACACGCCGTCTACTTCTTTCTAACTCCCGAACTCCATCTATCAATCTCTATAATATACTGAGGGCAGGATTATGCAATCTTAAGTCGAGTGTGCTCTTGGACACCTTTGCTGGACCGAAGCCCAGTGCTCTAGAAATTCAAGCCCAATTGCTTCCATCAGGCATGTCGTCGGATCAAGCTCTTCCTTTTGGGGCTGATAAATTAACACATGCAATATACACAGATTTATAATAAGAGAGAATAATTTTTTAATGTAGTGTTGTCCCTTCAGATAACATCTTAACTTGCTGTTTCAAGACTACGCTATGTTATACAAGGGAAGAGGTGAAAATACTGAAGAAATTCTGACATTTCTGAATGTACCTTCAAATGGGAGATAATTCACTGTGATTTTTTTATTTTTGCTGTATCAGTCGACAAGTTTTCTGATGAAAAAATGCCTTTAATTCTTGTTCTCAATGTATTTTTATTTCTGTATTTACTTTCTTAGTAGTAAAGCAACATGTTGATCTGAAAACTCTTAGACATAGAGCTCATTCTGCATGGTTTTTATTTCATTCTACAGTATGAAGAACTGATGGAAGCATTTAAAAACCTGCATAAGGAGTGCGAGCAGCTCAAAACATCTGGTTTATCTGCTGCAGAAATAAGAAGGGTAAAAGGATCTGACAAAATTGCATAACTTTTGTTTAGATTTTCTTAGTGAGTGTCGGTTCTATTTTTGTTTGTGGACTCTTTGCAGTGTGTAAGTTGCACGGATCAGAGCTGGTAAGCACTGCAGCTGCCTTTTTGAAACCCTTTTCTGTTGGCAAACAGATGAGAAAGTCCTTGCTTGTGCTTAGAACTGAGCTTGCTGAAGCAGATTGAGGGCCAAGGCTGCCAAGACTGTTCAGCATGATTTTTCAAATATTAGAACCCTTTTTCCTGTAAATGCAAACTGATACAAAGCCTTCTGCTTTACTGATATAGGGCAATCATTTCAGAGGGTGTTGAATGAATTAAGAGCTTAAGTCAACAAAAATGATGATCCTGTGTGGCTAAGGTGTTAAGCTGAAGATATTTGCTCTGTTTCAGCAAAATATTTAAGCGTGGGTACAGCTTTCCAGTGAGACATATGGACAAGTTAAGCAAATGTTGAGATAAAAGCCTAAATTTGGAGAATTTATTTCCCTTTCTCTCATAACTACCAGTCTCTGGAATCCTGCTGTTGTGAGATAGGATTAAAGGAAACTAATAATTGAATGCATGTTTTAGCACTAGAAAATGTTCCTTTCAACACAATTTTAATACAAAAAAAGGCAGCAAATCACTCATATGCAACTTCGTGCAAAATTGTCTGCCAGGAAGCGGATGATGACGGTAGCATTAAGAACATAGGTTAGACTGCATCACATGTTGAATTCACACTGATTTTTACTTGGTTGTTTCTGTTTGGTTTTGCTTTAGAGAAATCCACTGCTTTTATTTTAAATGTACATGCTATTTCTCAAGGGTGCAGATGAAGGAATGTTAGCATAAAGTGAGTGGGAACTGTGGAGGAAGTAAGAGAGAAGAGAGAGGTTGGAATCCTGGATGTTCTGATCATAGATCAATAAAATTGTAACCACTTCAGTGTGTTCAGAAAAGAATTCTGATTTTTCTATTAATTTGGACAGAATTTAGTCCAACCCTTATTGTATTGTAAATAAGTAACGTTCCTTTATCTGGTTTTTTTCTGCTTTTTAGGACATCACTGCAATGGAAGAGGAGAAAGATCAACTCATCAAAAGAGTAGAGCGTCTTAAGAAGAGGGTAATAAGAGAAGTAACGCTGTTACATTTCAGTGTCATAATCCTTGGCTTGCAACTCTGATTTTGGAATGCAAACAAGGATTAAGATAAACATACTGTATGTCTAGGAAGGAATCAAATAACTAATTGACCCACAGGGAATCTCCCTAGGCGTTAGTCCAGAGCTTTTAAGAATCTTGAGTCCAGTACTTCACTGTCATTTCTGGGTAGTAACATGTATGGAAAGGAAGCGCTAAGTGGGCTTGTGAGACATATGATCTCTTTAATACATTCCTCAACTATCTGACAGTAACATGCACTATTTATCCACTTGCTGTAGGTGGAGACAGTACAAAATCATCAACGAATGCTTGAAATAGCAAGACAGCTTCGCTTAGAGAAGGAGAGAGAAGAATCTTTGGCTCAACAGAAACAAGAACAAAAAAATCAGGTACTGACATAAAAGCATATCTATTAAAATAAATAGTTGTTGACATTGGTTCAGGAGTCAGGCACTTAAAAAAGCACATCAGGAACAGCAGTTCAGAGTTTCTCCCGACACCAGAAAATTAAATCCAATTAAAATAGAAATATTTATGTATGTTTTAAAGGAAGAGGCTTGACCCTGCAAGTTTTGAACACCTCATTCAAGGTACTTGGCTGCCGCAGCTGCCACTGACATCATCATTTAGCAGTCCCAGAAAATGTTCCATGACTTACTGGTGTAGCACCCAAAGAGAATTCTTTATATTTATGGTAGTGAGCAAATGTTTCCTTAGCTTGATTTGTATCTCTGTGCATCTGCACTAAGATTTCAGGGGCTAAATAACACAGCAAGTACCTCAGCTTTCCTCTGGGTGAGGCGAATATGTATTCAGGAGCAAGCTTGGGGTTTCGGTCCCCGAGTTTCACAAAGATGGTGTCTTTCAAAGTACTGGAAGCAGTTGACACCTAAATATAGGTGGTGGGCTTTATTCCTGTGCTACAATGTCAAAACAAGATAATTTAGTAAAATCCAGTGCTATACTATTGTAGTATCTCGACAGATTCTTCAACTTGAATTTCTAACACTGTGTTAAAAAGGAAAAAAAAAAAACACAAACAGATTTTTAGTATTTCAGTCTATATGTGGATGTGGAATCCATGTGAATCAGTAGGTTCTTGGGTCTTTCCTTGAACCTGAGCGAGATCACAAGTCAAATGAATGTGATGACCAGTTAATTCCAGTTCTTAGTACGCGTCTCTCTAAATCACAATAACGCTCATCAGCTGAGTGTTGGCTGGCACCAAGCTTCCCAGTGTGCTCCCAGGTTGGATGGTGGATTGCTGTGACAACTCAGCTGCACTGAAGAACTGCAGTATAAGGATAATTATCTGCTGCAATCCTGATTCTTCCTTTTTGTTGTTGTTGTTGTTCTGATGTTCCAGCCACTTTGATTTTTTTAGCTGAATGAATTTCTGCCACAGAGAAAATATCCCTTGGGAATACAAGAATACTTTCCTTAATTAACACTAGAGAATATCAAGTAAACCCAGGCCAATTGTTGAAAATCTGTTTTGGCGCGTTCGCTCGTGAAAAAGATAATCAGCAGCTGCTTATAGCTACTTTATTTTATATTTGGGATTGGTTTTGGTACTCTTTTGTTTTAGTTGCTTGAATATGCATTTCAAAGGAATGAGCTTACGTGTATCCAATTCTCTCTCAAAAGTTGTTCCACGCGGAGCAGAGACTGCAAAGAGCACAGCTCCAGCTGAAAGAGATGCATCATGCAGTAGTGGATTCAAAACCTGAAAGTAAGTAGTAATCTATAAAGGCTGGGAGTTTACACTTCTCTGTTAGAAATGAAATCAAAACTGGACGGATGTCAGTAATCCGGTGGTGTCAAAAAAGCATACAGGAACTTGAGAATCT